CTATCCCCAACTAAAAAGATGACCTTGAGTAAAATCCTCCAGCTCCATGCAGTAGTTTGACTCCTGACCAAGCCGAGCTCTCACCATCCTGACAGCTTGCTCTCATAGAAGTATTAGAATAATGGGTCAAATTTCCCAAAGGGGACAAAAGAGTAACTTACCAAAGCTGCCATAGTCATAGCCTTGCTCTCGGAGGTGTAGTTTCTGGGTCTCAGGGATTGAAACATTTTTGGAAATAATGTGTTTAACTCTCTCCACACATTTACCTTATCTTTTGTATTTTAATTTGTAACTATGCCCCTTTTAACATTCACTCCTTGAAGAAAGCAATGTCCAGCCATCCATCCATCTTCTTCCCCTTAATCCATTTCTGGGTCAGGGGGGTGGCAGTCAAAGCTGCACCCAGTACACAGAGCACCAGCCCCTCACTGATCCTCCTGCAGGTGGTGAGTCCACAGGAGCTGAGATCTTTCAGCGGGGGCTTCGGGCAAAGTGGGGTTAAGTGTCTTGCCCAAGGACACAAGGACAGCAGTCATCAGTGGGAGTCGTGAAGTAGGTCTCACGGTGGGCTCAAACCCACGACCTTCAGGCCCAAAGGCCAATGCTCTACCAACTGAGCCACTGTCACCACTGAGCAATGTCTCTTTTTCTTTTTGGGATTTTCTATGATGTAGGAGCACTGATACCTTGTTTTTTTTAACCCCTGTTTTGTTAAATTATAGACCTTCACCAAATTATTGAGATACAGTGGTTTAAGTGTCTATAACCAAGTGAGATGCCCTAAATAGTAAAATTTCAGTTCCAAGCATGCTTAAAAGTAAATATAGTGACTCAAAAGGTGATCTACCAAATTGTTGACGATACCATTACAGTTATAAAGTCAACAATCGGCTGTATATCTGTATTTAGCGTGCAGAAAGTAAGTCTCAATCACACCTGTATATTGGTTTTATTTAGATTCATCAAAAATCGTGATGAAAAAGATCTCTGCCCCCACAGTTGTAACATTTGGTTGATTGTTGCGAACAGCTTTTGGAGACTGATACGTGTGACATCCTCTGCTGCATTTAGCATCAGTGCATTCAGAGTAAATGACCTGTTGGTCTAATTGAAGGCTGCGACAGTTAAGCCTTAATCTCCCTGTGAAATTGCTGTGTTTTTTTTTTTCTTTCTCTTTTTCAACAGGACAATTTTCTTTCCAAACCAGTTTCTTCTTCTCCCAACACCAGGCAAAAAAAAAAGGCAACACACGGCAAAACAGTCTCAACCCAGTCCACCTGCTCTCCTGCCCCCAGTGAAGATTAGCACTAGTGTGTGTCCAAGGGATTTAGCCGCCACAAAAGAAACAAAAAGGCTACAGCTCCACCATAAGGCGCCTTTTCTCTCATATCAGATCTTATCAGGGCAGCCATTTTTGACAGGCTTTATCTGGAAGTGTCCGTCTGGCCTTGTGCGCGCCCCTCTATCCCCTGGATGGACGTTCGCATGCAGAAGGGGAGGGAGGGGTGAGAGGGGTGTCTAGGGCCCGTGGTGCAGGACGGTGGACGGGGCCCCCTCACACAGAGCAGGTAATCGGCTCACAGTGAGAGTTTATAGGTGCTGGACAGAGGAGTGATAGTGTTTGGGTGAAAGTGTGTCACTGCTTTGAGTGGATTAGAGTCACCACCACTGCCCGATCAGGGGCCACTGAGGAAGGGGTCTGCAGGGTTCATGAGACCAGACCCAAAGTATCATTGATATTGGTATAAAAAAAACAACAAGCACACATTTTATGGCCTTTCATAATTATTTTGGTTTGTGGCTCAATCTGGTTTTGATTATGTGAAATAGCGTTGATTTCATCCAAAAATATAAATAAATAAATACTGTATATAAATATAAATAAAAATAAATGATGGGCAAATAATGAGCTCTGTTTAATTGGTGGACCATTAAAGCTGGGGTACCTAATTTCCATGCAACAAAATAAAGCACTACGTTATGATTTCTTGGCTTCTAACAAGTTTATTCCTATCATTGTATCTGTATTTTTATGGGTTTATGTGTTGTAAACATGAAACACTTTGTGATCCTGGTCTGTGAAAGGCGCTACTTACTTACTTACTTACTAGTTTTCAAACATCAATTGCAAATATTTCTTTTGTTTTACCCCAAAAAATGAGGTGATTATCCTAATTCAGCTCATATGACTCCCAGTGCTCTTTCTTACATTCAATAAGTTTTAAAGATGATATGTTATGGTCTGATTAGTTCACAAAATATTACAAGTCAATTTCTCTTTGGAATATGCTCAGTGTGTGACGTATGAGACAAAAGTTATAATCCTAGTTTAAAGCAGATTTAAGATGTCATTCTTATTTGAACGTCTGTGTTTGGAAATCCACTTCAGCGCCCCCTCATTCACTCTATTTGGTGTCAGCACTGCCATCTGCTGGTGACAGTGGGGATCAACCATGAGACCACAGCAGTGAAATTATGTAAACACAAACACACACTTAATGATTGTGCTGAGACGAATAGGTCAGTAACGTTACTGAAAGAAACGTGATTGAGGCTGGGTATGAAAGAATAACCAATGATATTAATTTAAACTCGTGCAAAAGTGCATTTTAAAAACGATTAATTCAATATTAAATACGTATCAATTACAAAGTTTCCTGTTGTCTTTAGTTATCGCGCTGTAAAATGTGTTCAGCTCATGACTCCATCTTGTGGTGAAAAGCAATGTTATATTTTACAGCCCCATACTCTACTATTATGACATAGGGCCACGATTTCATATTTTAGATTGTTGTGAGAAAAGCACCACGAATTAAGCACTATTCACAGTTATTGACACAATGACACAAAAAACTTGTCTTTTAATTTTACTATTATATTTAAATTCCTATCCCGCACTACTTTTAACATGTATTATACAATTATTACATACTTGTTTCAGAATGTACTTATTTTTGTTACTAACTTTAGTGACTATCCTTGTGTGAAGTTAAGTTAATGTGATGTAACGATGAATGTTTATTGTTTATTGTGAATTAAATCGAAATATCAGCAACTGCACCACACTGCTTTTTGGAAGTGGTTAAAATTTACTCTATTTCAGTGCAGGTTGAATGGAATGAGTGCAATTCTGTCTCATGTATAGCTTTCTGTTTGACAATAATGTATTTACATTTCGAACCAATTATGTATTAAGTTGAAATTGCAATTAAAATTAATAATTGGTTAACTTCAATATAATTATAGTCTAGTTCCGTGATCACACTCAAATATCGGTATAAAATGTAGTATATCAAAATTTTGATCACAGCTGTAGTCCCCTTTATTGCAGCAGTAAAATACTTGACAACAGCAGAACAAGACGATCACGGCCCGCGTACATTTCACGTCTTCACAAGAGGAGAATAATGTCCGCTCATTATCCCAATCATCTAGATATATGTCCTATAGCTTCTTTAAGCCCGATGGGGTTCATTTGCAAACCATTTATTATTTAATTAGAGTGTCATGTCTTTAGTCATGTGACCAGCGTGTGCATATTATTATAACGGGGTAATTGCTGACACTCCAAATGTGAGATTATTCCTTCCTTAAATGAAGTGATATTGTGGGGCCATTGTTAGAGATGACAGCGGAGGAGACACAGAACTTAATGAAGCATTATTAGGGCGAGCTGCAGTCACTGAACGAGGCCCGGCTGCTCTAAACATATAATTACTTCCTTTCGTTTTGACACAGTGTTGTATATGGGTTTTCTGTGGAGGTTTGTTGTGGAAAACAGGAGCGCCCTCTGGTGGATGAGTGAGGTACTGATCAAAACTGGGGTACCGACGCTTATTTTTTTCATCAATTATTAATGCTGTGGTTTTTTTGGTTCAACAGAAACAGTACATGCTCATCTTTGGAATGAGCACTGTCTTCATCTTTTTATACTTGTAAGAAAGAACACTGTGAGTCACTATTTGACACTTTGGGCTGAGAGCTGATTGGCTGAGTGAGAGTCGATCAACTTTCTCGCTCCCTCCCTCTTTCTCTGTCTCTCTCTTTTTTTCTCTCTCTTTCTCTCTCTATTTCTCTCGCTCTATTTCTCTCTCTCTTTCTTTTCCTCTCTATCTTTCTCTCTTTCTTTTTCTATCTGTCTTTTGCTCTCTCTCTTTATCTCTCTCTCTTTCTCTCTCCTCTCTTTTTATATCTCTCTCTTTCTCTCTCTTTCTATCTCTGTCTATCTTTCTCGCTCTCTCTCTCTTTCTCTCTCTCTTTCTATCTCTCTCTGTCTATCTCTCTCTTCTCTCTTTCTCTCGCTCTCTCTCTTCTCTCTCCTCTCTCTCCTTCACTTTTCTGTCTGAAAAAGTTGAGGCCATAACGATCACCATGAAAACTTGAATTCTAGTGATGGAACCAAATAGTTTGGAGAGTAAGATTTTGAATGAATTCTGTCGCACAGTTCCATTTCTTGAAGGCTGAGTTTGTTACACACCTATTTTTCAAGAACCTTTGAGTGTGAACCATGGATCTACAATAACATCCGTGTGCACTCACAGCCAATCATGAAACCAACGACTCAAGTAGGGCAACAAAGTCAATTTGCAGAATAACTGTTGGTGTCAAAATATTGAGTAACACAAACTCCAAGACTTGACAAGTTTATTTAACAAAACAAATAGAAAAAAAAAATACTATCTCCCACTGCACAGATTGGATGTGATGGCACTGAATTCTCCCAAGTAACAGATGCTTCCCTGTTATTTAAAAACATGTTGACCAAAACAAACCAAACTAAACTAAACTAATGAAAAGTGTTCAGTTTGTATCATTGTTGAATCAATCAGTTGGATGGACTAGAATAGCATATAAAAGGAATTTGAAACATAAGTTTATCGGCCGTTCCCTGTAGCTGAAATGCTTTGCTGCATTGGTCATCTCCACCACATTTACTATTTACACCAGAGACTAGCACTGAGTCCCAGGGCAGCACATTTCCATAAAAAGTCATTACACTTTTAAAACTTGTCTCCAGTCAGAGCTCGGGCGATGCACATGAAGATAACCCCTGATAGCAGCACGAGAGGCACTCCTGCAGCCGCCACCATGAAGGACAGGCCGTAGTGGATCTGCACGTCTGGCGCGGGACACATCTCGCCACTTTCCTGAAGGATGTAGCGCCGCACATCCACCAGCTCCACCCACATCACGAAGAGCAGCAGCACGGACAGGAACAAGCAGGCTGCGGGGAGACAACAGCAGGGGCGGTGCTACCATTAGGCCTAGAAGAGCTAGCAATTCAGGACCCCCAACGTGGAAGCCCCTTGATCAGTTTCCCTGATTTATTCGGACAAGAAAACATGATATCAGTTCTCCTTTTCCACGTGACATGTCTGAAATGCCTTTAACAGTACTATCTGGATTATTAAGCGCACCTTAGCTGATAAACTGCATAAACTGAATCCTTATTTGAACACACTGTTTACTCGTGACTATCAAAGGTAGACTGAATCTATTTTGGTGATAACATTCATCCTAAAAGTTAATGGAGTCAAAATATATGTCCTTAAACTCTGCTCTTCTCTGACATTAGCCCTAATCATATAACAACTAGTCCTGTGTGCTTTCCTGCTCTTCCTCTTGTCTCTCTCTGCTGTTCACATAAACACACCAGGAATGAGGAATGTGTGTAACATCCTCAGCTCTGGAGATCAACAGCTTATAGAGCTGTGTCCAAATACCTTCCTTCACCCCATGGGGCGCGCTGACAAAATAAAAATACATACATTGGCTGCATTGCTATACAGGCCGCAGGGTTCAAAGAGCTTTAAAAAAGTAATCCTGCAATTGCTATGTCTAATGGCCAATTCCATTCTGTTCAGACAAGTCCACAAGTTTACAATAAACTGGACGGGAATCACAATGTAACTGTGAGATTGCACATACAGACCTGACTTCCATCAAAATGACTTTGCCCAGAATCACTAGTCAATGGAAATATTATTCAAATCTCTGTTCAACTCATTACAAATTACCGTCTTGTATCATTTTTACCCATTTTTAAACATGGCGCATTCACCATGAGCAAATAAGTAAACATACCACCTCCAATCAACATATCAAAAGCAAATCCTAAATTTCTTGCAATCTTTTCATTCATTCATTTTCATCCCTTTATTTTCCATTTCTGGGTCAGGGGGGTGGCGATCAGAACTGCCACCCAGTTCACAAAGCACCAGTCCCTCACTGATTCTTCTGCAGGTGGTGGGCCCACAGGAAGATGGCTGCTCGTTCAATGCAGATACAGCCTTGATCTTTCAGTGGGGACTTCAGGCAAAGTGGGGTTCAGTGTCTTGCCCAGGGACACAACGACAGCAGACATCAGTGGGAACAGGTGATATGGGTAGTGGTGGGATCGAACCCACGACCATTAGGTCTAGAGATCAATGCTCCACCAACTGAGCCACTGTCGCCCCTTTCTTCCATTCTTGATAAACATTAGTGTATTATTTATTTTATTTATACATATTTTAACATTTATATAACATAACTGATGTTTAATGGAGAAACTGGGCTTACTCATATCACAATGAATATACGATCAATTATATAGTTCTCGGATATATGTTGGGAACATCAAAGCCCAATATTGTTAAATTATTTGCTTGTTATTTGTTATCTATTTATTCTGTGTCCTCGTTCGGCCTGAGCAGCAGTGTGAAGCCGGAATGTCGGTATGCAAGTGTATTTATGCATCTACATTCACATTTCCCCCTGGCTCTAATCTCACTCACGCACAGCTATAAAAACCCCACATATGTGATGTATTTTTACCAGCAGTGATGAGGAGCGTCCCGCCCCCTCGGTACAGTTTGTGGCTGTAGAACGGGACGCCGCAAACCAAGAGGAATCCTCCAATAAGAGCACAGAGCAGCGCCAGGACCATCAGCACCGTCCAAAACCCCCGGAAAACTGAAACATACACAATGGCACCTTTAAAATCACAGACACTATACTTGACACCGGGATAGGAATCGTATACATTTACTTTTTTGTGTAAATATTATACAGGGCATTTTCAATTCAACCCCATTTGACCAAAAACATACCATTTATTGAAGATTGATAGACAACCATATGCTGTTAACAATGTCTGGATGTCATCATATCAATACATCAACATACCAATAATAGAAAATATAAAAATCTATCATAACTTCAAAAAACATATCTGAAAAAATATATATATTTATAAAAACAAATACTACAGAATTGTTGTATCTCTTTCAAAAATCTAAAACATTATTGTAATTGCTGATACATGCTCAGACAGAGAGAGAGAGACAGAGCCATGTGACATCACCTGCTGTGGTGTCGTACATGGGGTGGGGCACTGGTCCAAGAGCCACAGGCAGAGGGAACAGGTAACCATGGACACACAACTTAGACACAGGCTGGTTTGCTGGAGGAAAAGAACAATTTAATATGCCAATTTAAAGTCAATATAGGGATATGAGAAACGGTTCATTCATCAACCAATTAAATATGGTATTATGTGGTATTCGTAAATATTTGTCCCTCAGTCCTGTTGGAAACCCCAAAACTTACTGTCTTTCATGGTATTCTTGCTCCTGCAGCAGGGTCCTGGTCCTGTAGCAGCTGTTCTCACAATCTCAGGTAAGTATAATTCCTTCATACTTCCATCTCAACTAGATACATAACTTTTTCATTCATCAACCAATTAAATATGGTATTATGTGGTATTCGTAAATATTTGTCCCTCAGTCCTGTTGGAAACCCCAAAACTTACTGTCTTTCATGGTATTCTTGCTCCTGCAGCAGGGTCCTGGTCCTGTAGCAGCTGTTCTCACAATCTCAGGTAAGTATAATTCCTTCATACTTCCATCTCAACTAGATACATAACTTTTTTCTCATCAATCACTACATATATATGTAAATGTCCCCAATGTCATACTGCTATACTGTACATGGCATCTTCTACAAGTTACGTAGTTAACATTTGAGAAAGAGCCACGTCCCTTTTTCCACTTTAGGAGAAGAGCTGGATTGTCCAAACAGTTTCTTTTTTCTGTATCAAAAAGTTACTCGAAAGCTATGAGAGACCATAATTATGCATGTGGCTCAAACCAAAGAGCTGATGTGTCAGATATAAGAGATGGATATATTTAGATATCTATAATGTAATTATAAATTCACCCCTTGAACATGAGGACTTTCAGCTTTAGATTTGTAAGTAATAAAATATATTGGACTTGAACTCATGTATATGGTATTTTTCATAATATTTTATAGTAAACCTATTGAAGACATTAAAACATAACCTAATATTGAAACGTTACGAGTGATAGAGGACTAGAATTAATGAGGAAAATATATGTAGTAAAAATGTAAGTGTCACGTGGTTGCATGAAGAAAAAGGGAACCCAAAATGCAGGACCGAAAATCAAGTGTAATTTAATAAAAATAGAAATCCAGAGAGACAAAAGCACAAAAATCCAGAACTGAAAAACTAGACAAGACAAACTTGGCAGAGACAATGGACGGACAACAAGTGGAGAAAAGCACAGGGTATACATAGGCCCAGTCCCAATACCCACACTGCACCCTACACACTTCTACGAAGTGTGCATTTGTTCGAAGTGCACACCAGGGTTGGAGTGCGCAGGTTACAAGTGTGCAAAAAAGGCAGATTTGGGACAGTGCACAGTGAGTGCAGGTTACGTCATCGACTCGTCAAGAGATGGTCATTTTCAGACCTAAACTTTATAAAAATTAAAGGTAACTTTGTCTGACCCTTTGGGAAACAAAATGAATTGCTTCACACACGTTAAAATACATGTATATTAGTTGTTTTTAATTAGAGATAGCTGTATAATTTTAAGTTAAATGTGGGTAACTAACTATCTGGTCAGTTTTTATACATTCTAAGATTATTGTACTAAGTGTAAAGTTTAAATTGAATGTTATATAAACGCTTGCTTTAAAAAGTTATTAAATTGTTAAAACACAATGTCCGTAATTCTTCATCAAACGTTTATGCTTCTTTCCAAGTAACATAGCAAAACTTATTTACACACATACTGCATATATATTTCAAAATGTATATTTAAATGCATTTTCCCGACGTTTTGGTGTGTACCGCAAAGAATTATGGGCAATATCCTTCGCCAGAGTGTGCATAGATGCAGGCTACGGCGAAGTGTGGATCAGGGGCGCAAAGGGGGCGGGGCCAAAGACCTCCCTGGAGAATTGGGACACCCTACGCACTCGCACCCTTTATCGGGAACGCGCAAATGAGGGGCGCGAGGGTGAAAGTGCGAGTATTGGGACGGGGCCATACACACAGGAGACACAGGTGGATCACATTAGGGCGGGGCTAACAATCAACAGGACACAGGAATCAGGAAAACTCAAAATACAAGAGAACTAATAAAGTAAATAAAACCAGGTTAAAATAATCCTAAAAGTCCACACCATGACAGTAAGGAAACATTTGTGGGATGCCAGGTATCTGCATAGAAAGTGTCCTGGATTCAAGAGTTCATGTAGAAAATCTGCTACTTTGCCGCTCTGAGATTCAAACGCACTAAGAATGAAGACGCAAACTTGACCAAAAATAAAAAAGATGATTTGTTTAGAGTTAAAGGAGCAGTATATAAAATTCTGGCCAAAAGTGGTACTGCAACCTCTCCCACTCTCCCTGACTCAGGTTGCCAGATATGCAGATGAATTCAACTGGGACCATAATATCTGAATAGACAGAGTTTTGAGTTTTTTTGAGTTTTGTCAACAAAAAATCTATAACCAACACCTTTTTCACAAAGACCCTGATAGAAATCCTTGTTTTATTACTTGTTATTAATGGTATCATAACTAGACCTTTTTAATTCTGCGGCCACATGTTACTTTGCCAGTGGGATTAGCTCGTCACAGTGAATTCTGGCAACCCGGATCACGGACTTTCTGATTGGTGAAACGGAGGAGGGCGGAACATCAAAATGAAAACAATAACAATATTTAGGGGCTGTAAAACTAATTTTGAAATTCAATTATCTCTGCTGAACTACTGTTATCAGTTAAAGAAGCATGGGAAAAGAGCATGGTTTATTAATGCCTTTTGACAGATTAGGGCCCTTTAATGATGACTTGACATGAAAATCTTATATACTGCTACTTTAAGAGTAGATGGACACATTTTAATATGTAAAATGTATACATTCTTACTGTGTATATGGGGGCACTCAGGTTTGAGTTTATGTAACTTGCTGCAATAGCTTTGATGGTAATTGCCGTTTGACTCACTGTAGAGAGTGGAGAGGTGTGGCTCCGCTGTCAGCTGCACCTGAAACACACAGCGCCAGAAGAACCCCTCGTGATGGAGGGTCAGGGACTCGGGTCGGCGCGGCTCCTCTGTGATCTGACAAAGAACATATACAAACATCAGTCTGTGAAATCCCTCATGTGAGCGTCGTCAGCAGAGCAGATCAGGCAGAAACGTGCTTCTGATTACAGCCCTTTGGTCTGTGAGGCTTTCTACAAAAACACGAACAGGACGCAGCAGCGGCCTGTCTGCGATGATTGATGGTGCTGAATAACATGAAGAAACTTTAGTTTAAATAGTGTTAAAAAGTTTACAGAATGTAGCACCTTGAATTTTGGTGACTACTGGTGAAAAACTTGACTGGATTGGTTTCATTTGAGTCTATTTCTTTAACATGTTATTTCATCTATTTACATTTGATCCCTCAAAGTCTGGACCTGAAAGCACTAGGTTTGTTTTGTGTCCATTTGCGTTTTAGTTATAGCGGTGCATGACAATACAATACAATAAGTAAGTAAAGTTTATTTATATAACGCCTTCACAGACCAGGGTCACAAAGTGCTCTATAATTAAAAACATACAATGAGAAATAGTACAAGTCAGCTCCCAAAACAAATATACAGAATTGTCGTAAAACACACTACATATAGGCCTTTGTACAGTGAGGAGAGAAAGCCTGCCTAAACTAAAAGCTCTTAAAGGTATGTGGGAGGATTTACTTTTTCTAGGTGGATTATCAAGACTATTGGTCCTCCCACTTGTCAATCATTCTGGTGACACATGCTCATCAAATAAGACCAGGGAGAGGGTGGTTCTTCCCTAAAGAGAAAATCCTCCTGTATACTGTACTTTTAAGTTAAGACGTGAAATTGTCCACCGACTCTAACATGCGTGATACCACACAATAATGTTCCTATTACACTATATTACACTACACTACCATGAGAATTGCATGTCAGACATATCACATAATTCATTTCAGTCCCATTGGTTTGAACAGCAGATGCATGTGTCTATCATCACAACAGCTGCACATATTTTCACAAGTGATAGGAATACATCTGAGGTCACACTTTGCTGCAGTCCACACTTGAACACTGCATCAAAATATACTGAGACTAAAGTCTATTGAACAAAGAGTATACCATGGTCACAGTGTGGGCCGAGACCAAAGCCAGGCCATGGAGACCACACTGCAGTCATCAAACCTGCTAGACCATTGAAGCTGGTTTGGGTATTACAACCAACAGTCAAAAAAGTAGAAAAGAAAGGCAAAAAAAAGACAAAAACACTAGTTGGGACCCAAAAACAGTATGTATTTCTGATGAGAATCAACAAACTGGGTATCAATGTACATCTACATTTAACAGTAAGATTAGACTACTTTTCATTGTATTATTATTTTCTAATCATGAATAAACCCACATTGTAAGTAGTAAAATATATTGTATCTGTCTCAATATATATGTTCCTAGTATATGGACTACTAGAATTACAGAAACAGAAATATATAAACAAATGATATGTAGTAAAAATATACAGAATCGTATGTGAGATGCCAGGTTGATGTATAGAAAATGCCCTGGATTCAAGATTTCACTTAGAAACTCTGCCATACTTTGCCGCTTAATTTAAAGAGTCACAAACTTGCCGTTGGGATTGACATTTCAACTCAGACTTGTTTGGGTGAGCAGAGAGCCTCACTCACATACACACTCATAAACAGCCGTATTTGCTTACCACTGTACCATTTTCATCCGGCGTCGGCTTCTGCGTCTCCGTTCGTTCGCAGTTGTCACTTGCCACTAACCAATAGTCCGTCGCGAAGGCTACAAAGAGACATAGGGTCCCGAGTCCCCCCAAAACCCCTCCAGACAAGGCCGCAGCTCCGAATTTCATATCTCCCAATGTAACGTGCAGTATAGCCCTAACATACGCACTTAAAAGTTACAAGTGGTTTTGCCTGTGACCGGCTTCTAGACACACTGGACCACTCCCCAGGACAGGCCACTCTCTGGGGCATGGAGCAGAGGCGGGGGAGAAGTTATTTTGGGGACCTGGAACTCGCTCCTTGTCAAATTACCTCATTGGCGAATGAGGGGAACAGCCAACCATATAGTGCCCCTGTGTGTTTGTAAATGCGAGAGTATTTGTGACCTGGAGGTATTTCTAAGCTTGGCGCAACACTTGGAGTCGTTCTTTGGAAAACGAATTAGACAGAACATGCAAATGACCCAAGAGTCACAGCCAAAAGTTCAAGCAAGATTTATTAGTACACACAGCAGAGGCCAAGGACGTTCCCCCCAAGTCCTGGAAGCCACCTCCGGAAAACAATAGAAGAGAGAGCAGTATCTGTGACAATTACGATTAGATGGTGACGTAAAAAATAATGTTACAAACGTTCTATGTCAAAACTGAGGTGTTTTTTCGGTTCGAGTTTGGGTGAAACGTTTTCTTCGGGAATGGAGTCTTGCGAAGCAGGTCGTGGAGTTATGGCACAAACTGTTCAAAGACAAGAATATATACAAATGGATTATTATTCGTACTTTCAAGCGGATTTTTAGTTATGGATAGTCATGTCTTGTACAGTGGAACTCACCAGTGTGGGATCTGCGGAGTCCTCTTCTCAAGTTTTGGAGTCCATTGAATTCCGCTTCCTCCATCTAAATAACAAGGTAAAAAGATGAAATACTTTTACATCCAAAGCAATATTATTACGAGGTGTTGGTTTTATGGAGCTAAATGGGGCACTTTAATGCATTCAAACTTTTTAACTCAGCTTGAGCTTGTGTCACAACCCTCCTCCTCCCCAAATCCAACTCAACACCATTTTTCATCATAATCTCTATGAAAATTCTTTCTTGTGCATGTATATGTTGTATTTGCATAATTAGAAAGTTGCAAAGATCTTTGTAAAACATCCCTTTGTCTGTTTTAGTGTTCCTAGATTAAAATAAAACACCATTGACTTTTTCCAAGGGTTTTTTTTTTTCATCCATGAATACATTGCGTTTGTTGTGAACACCTGCGTGTCCCTCTTTCCCAAACTCTGGTGTCTCTGGAGGGTCCTGTCCTGGTGCAGGGTGTGGCGGCTGTAGGCGGGCATCTGAGGGGAAGGAAATCACTTTAAGTAATTGACTAAATGATAGAATCAAGTAAAATGTGTTGTTGTACCCTGCTGTTGAAGTTATGTAAGTTTCGAGAGAGGATTCTCCTGATGCTGTCCATCTCTTCTGGAAGAAGAGGGCGACTGCTGGTTTGAGGAACTGTTCTGAATAAAATAGTCAAACAAAATAATAATATTTAGACTGAATAATCACACAAATATTGTCGTCAACAGTTCAATCAAATTGATACAATGATAATAATACTGTCTGTTATTCATTGTTAAGGTTTTCTGATTATTATTTTTTTTCTGATTATAATTGTGTCCAGGAATCACCTGGACACATTTATAATCAACATTTTTTTATGTTTTAAATTTACAATTAGGTGAACTAAAACATATTTTTTTCAATGCATTCATTCAATTCACAGAAGTATTTCCAGTTAAAGTGTATAATAGATACCTAGCCTGTATTGCCGTCTCCCTGTTGGCGCCCTGATCTCTCCTCTCCAGCTCCTGATAAACTCTGAGGATGCTGGAGCGGTTCTGCTGCTCCTCTCGAATCAAAAAGCGCCGCAGGAACTTTCTGTTGAACTGTTCAAACCTGCACACATCCACACAGAGCAGAACGAAGAAACCGAGCAGCTGCTTGAACACTGTCGCCCTCTAGTGGAGATCGTGAGCATTACAAATGTCTAACCAAAGGCTCACTTGTCTTTCCAGTAGTGCTGACCCCAGTATCCCACAACGTCCTCGATCCCGGCCAGAAGGTGATCAATGAGCTGTAACACACCCAAGGACGAAGATTTGTGTTATAATTAAAGCTATGTCTCATTTTTCTTTACAAAACATTTAATACATGTCACCAACAGAAAGTGCTGTAAAAGAAAAATGCTGTTGTTGTTTCCTTAAGCAAGACTCTATACCCAGAAGGGTATAGTGTATGGAGTGAAAGAATAAGGCCATGTGTCATTATGTGTCCAAAAAAGTGCTAGATGCAACCTATATATTGTTGCATATTATTATTATCACTACTGTTAGCTACTTTTAGAATTGTTTTTTTCTTTTTTCTTTGTACAGATGGATGTGTAGGGGCGACAGTGGCTCAGTCGGTAGAATTGGTCTTTGAGCCTAGTGGGTTTGAGCACAGCATGAGACCTACTCCAACTATACTCCCACTGATGTCTGCTGTCCCTGGGCAGGACTCTTAACCCAGCTTTGCCTAAAGCCCCCGCTGAAAACCAAGGCTATGCTTGCACCGACAGAGCAGCCATACTCCTGTGGACTCACCACTTGCAGGAGGATCAGTGAGGGGAGGGGCATCTCTGACTGCCACCCCCTGACCCAGAAATGGATTAAAGGGAAGAAAACGGAACGGACGGATGGATGTGTTTCTGCTGCCACTGGACACCTGAATTTCTCCTACGGGGTCAATAAAGTATCTATCTCTCTATCTACAGGTTTTCTTCCAGAATGGTCCTGTATTTGGCTCCATCCATCTTCCCATCAATTTTAGCCATCTTCCCTGTCCCTGCTGAAGAAAAGCAGGCCCAAACCATGATGCTGCCACCACCATGTTTGACAGTGGGGATGGTGTGTTCAGGGTGATGAGCTGTGTTGCTTTTACGCCAAACGTTTGTGTAAGCCCTCAGTCGTACAGGGATTAGTCAAAGCAAAGGAAGGTTTCTCACCCATCATCTGTACTTCTAAGCAAGTTTTCCCAACGTTTCGTCCTCAAACTAGCGGACTTCTTCAGGGAATGAATTCTCGGACCGCGCGTTGGAGATTTATAACCTATGGGTGTGGTTAGCCACACCCTAATCCTGATACTAACTCATAAACAATCTACGGTCTGCTTGATGTAGAAGGGAGCAGATCTAACGACCCTGCTGAGGCTAACGACCCTAACTCCTTAGCATGTCACAGACCTATTGTCTGCTGGGATGCTCAAGTGGAGTGCAGGTCTCACCCCTCCTAACTCATTAGCATGTCACTGACCTTGTCCCAAGTTAGGGCGTTGTTTTTAGGATGTCGTCATAGATGCGAGGCAAAACAAATCTTAACCCTCCTCCTCTGTTAAGAGAAGGTTTTTGTTTCTTCCTTTACAGCCATTTTTGTGAGGAAACAAAAACCTTCTCTTAACAGAGGAGGAGGGTTAAGATTTGTTTTGCCTCGCATCTATGACGACATCCTAAAAACAACGCCCTAACTTGGGACAAGGTCAGTGACATGCTAATGAGTTAGGAGGGGTCAGACCTGCACTCCACTTGAGATGGATTCGATTTGGGTTTCATCTGACCAGAGCACCTTCTTCCACATGTTTGGTGTGTCTCCCAGGTGGCTTGTGGCAAACTTTAAACAAGACTTTTTATGCATATCTTTGAGAAATGGCTTTCTTCTTGCCACTCTTCCATAAAGGCCAGATTTGTGCAGTGCACGACTGATTGTTGTCCTATGGACAGACTCTCCCACCTCAGCTGTAGTTATCTGCAGTTCATCCAGAGTGATCATGGGCCTCTTGGCTGCATCTCTGATCAGTCTTCTCCTTGTTTGAGATGAAAGTTTGGAGGGACGGCCGGGTCTTGGTAGATTTGCAGTGGTCTGATACTCCTTCCATTTCAATATAATTGCTTGCACAGTGCTCCTTGAGATGTTTAAAGCTTGGGAAATCTTTTTGTATCCAATTCCGGCTTTAAACTTCTCCACAACAGTATCTCGGACCTGCCTGGTGTGTTCCTTTGTCTTCATGGTTCTCTCTGCGCTTTAAACAGAACCCTGAGACTATCAAAGAGCAGGTGCATTTATACGGAGACTTGATTACACACAGGTGCATTCCTGGTTATCATCATCAGTCATTTAGGACAACATTGGATCATTCAAAGATCCTCACTGAACTTCTGGACTGAGTTTGCTGCACTGAAAGTAAAGGGGCCGAATAATATTGCACGCCCCACTTTTCAGTTTTTTATTTGTTAAAAAAGTTTAAATTATCCCATAAATTTCGTTCCACTTCACAATTGTGTCCCACTTGTTGTTGATTCATGACAAAAAAATAAAATTGTATATCTTTATGTTTGAAGCCTGAAATGTGGCGAAATGTTGAAAGGTTCAAGGGGGCCAAACACTGTATCTATTGGTGATACCGCTAAACACACATCAAGAGCTCTGGTGTGTGCTGTCTGGTGCACAGGCGGTAGTCTTGCACAGTTTTTCCAATGTGGTTTTACTGCAAATGGCAAATGAATTCCTGAATCTTGAATCTACCAAAATTGAGATTGATATTTTTAATTTTTGTTTTTGGCAAAGCCCTAAATAAGCCCTATGGAGTTTTGTCCTTTTACTGCATAAATAATGAACATTTCTCACTCGACTGTGTATCTCCTCGCTGACGGTGGGCAGCGCTCTCTTCTTCCTCTTCACGTCCAATAATTCGACGAGAGGCTTAATGGTCATACCCTGAAAAGTGGAGACACAAAGAAGCAGGCGATGTGCACGGAGGTGATTCCAACCTGGAGTATATACTGTTAAGTTTAGTCCTGACCTGGACAAAGACAGTGAAGAGGATGACGATGATGGTTGTAGTGATGAAGAGTCTCTTTTTGGGAAAGTCATCGATGAGAAAGACCAGAGAGAAGCAGATTGCTCCTCTGAGGCCACCGTAGGCGATGATAAACTGGTCTCTAAAAGTCACCTTGTTCCTTCTGACTTTGTTCACCACAGCCGTGAGCAGCAGCACTCCTAACAATGCACATGGAAAATTGGTTTTATACAACAAGCATATAGTTCTATAAGCTCTATATGTTTCAAAATAGAAGCATACATTGCAAATAATACATACCGGTTTTTTGAAGCACAGGCCAAAAGAGCATAACTTATGGTTGACTGTTAACAGCGCAATTTAGAATAATAAAAAACAAATCTTTGACAGATGTATGGGTTTTTTTCATGATCAAGTTATGTGATAGTAGGGCCATTTAGTTTCATAATTTAATCAGTCAACGGTTTCTTAGTCCACCAAATTTGCAGTCGTCAACTCAAATTGTTCATTTTCCACTACAAGAATTTTGAGGTGAAAAAAAGGCTGAAAAGATAAGGATGTTTTGTATTTACATTGATATTCAAGCCAGAATGAACCATCAATGTACTTATTAACTGACATTTACTGATGCCAAAATAGTTGTTTTTCATTGAATGTATGTTTTCTGAGTTCAGTTTGGGTCAAATATGTGAACATTTTTATAACCTTATAGTGCAGGTTATAACAGAGGTGTCAAACCGGTCCTCAAACCGGCACTTTGAGGACCGGTTTAATTCCAACCAAGCAGGAACACACCAGACTCCACCCATTCCCTCCAGTGAGTCTAGTCTCAACCAAAGGCTCACTTGAAGACTTGTGAAAATGGATGTGCTCCTGCTTGGTTGGAATGAAAACCTGCAGACACACCAGCCCTTTCTGGACCCAGTTTGGCGCAGCTGCTACAGAGGACAGTGATTGCTGATGTATTCCATGGAGATATTTGGAGGTTTCCGTTCTTTACCAGAGGCCCTCCAGAGCAGGCAGAGCAGCAGCGTGGCGCACACAAAGGTCCAGCTCCACATGTGGACGTCCTGGATGGTGGACACTCCCAGGAAGATGAAGATCAGCGTCTCACTCACGCTGCTCCACATCTTCAGGAAGTACTGAATACTGCTGTTACACCGCTCCGACACGTTTGCCTCGACGTACTGCTTCATCGTGACGGCACAGGTTACGATTCTAAGACGAAAGGAAACATTCACACAATAATCGTATGTGGTATAATGGTAAAACAGTCATTTAGTTCATATGTGAACTTTTGCCCAAATTAAATGTATGTAGATTTGACAGGACACTGGAAAGAACCGGTCAGATACTGAATCAAATCTTCAAGCAAGATGAACTTGACATCTGATCCACATCATTGCTTTTTTAAATTTTTGCTTTTGTTCATATCCGTTCATATCTCTGTCATACGCAAATAATGATCCAAATTATAAAATCATGTAATTCATCCTGGAAGTCTGCTGCAAATAAACAGCTCAATTTTGAGAACGTTCCTGTCTGATTCTGACAATCCGAAGTAATAAGTGTCATCACTTCCAACTGCCAGGATTTATACTTTTCATGTGTTTGAGTAAAACGACTGTCTCAAAGAGTCCAATGATTGTCATCTTTTCAGGAAACCAAGGATACCTCTTTCTGCAAGATTCAAATAACCAGAAGATGGTGCCAAAGCCCTCTGTACAGAAGCTGCACACAACTCAAATAATCTGACCTGTTTCTTTAGGACCTTTATAGTTTCACTGATTTTACATCAACTTCTATTATAGGGAAGTAGCATCAATACTGATTATGGTATCAAATATTAATACCAATCCAGGAAAAGTTGTTGGGTCATGTTATGCTTGTTATTTTCGAGAACTTTATACTTTAAAAATGATTTCATGTAAAGAATTGATGGAAAATATTTGTTTGCCTTTTTTGAAACAAATCACTTTGGTTCTTTTATTCCCGGCAATAGTAGGCTAGTGATGCTACCTTGACATGTTTCCACGAACATCAAGGGCCAACTTTTGTCTGGTGTAGACGAAACAAAATCCTTTGAAATCACTTTACATTCCAGTATTAATGGACTCCTAATACTTCTCCTCACTCTGTTACTGCATTATATCCTGAAGAACCAAACGCACACTGAAGACTTACGCTGTGATGCCAGAGAGGTGGAGCATCTCGGAGGTCAGGTAGGACAGGTACGAGTAGAGGAAGACAAAGAGAGGAGCGATGACCGGGACTCTGGAGGTAAACCTGGAGGTGAGCGCAGCCACCAGCCCAAAGAACAGCCCCACAAACAGGCCTCCAAAGCCCACCAGCAGCACCCTGCAGCCCCCAAGCAGGACGTCCAGCCCAGAGACAGAGGGCAGGCGTAGGAACGACTCAAACAACTGGTACAGCACCTGTCAACAACACACTTTACAAAAGATCGCAAAAAGGTAATGTCATTTGGTGGTCCTATGTAGAATTTTCACAGAGTGTTCCAAATTGCTTACTGACTAATGCCGATGCTGTATAGCCTGCCAGATATGAAACATTATCTTTATCTAATTCTACTTTAGACCTAAGTTGGTCTCCATTAAATGTGGTTGTGTAGAATAGTACTGGCTGAATTCTTCATTATTAAAGAGAAAAAGTAATGCATTACAAAAAAAGGTACATTAAACGCTCAATGAAAGCATCAAACTCTTTCTCTGACCTTTCAATGACTGTTTAAGTACAAAAAACAGTAGTAGTTTATTTCCAAAACTAATTTTGCCGAAGCAACACGAAGATACTTTTCCGGTGCCCACTGCTTCCTCACCACAGTCACAGCGTCGTTGAGCAGAGATTCCCCAAACACCAGGATGTGGAGCTGTTCGTTCACATGCATCTCCTGGAACACAGAGAGGACAGCCACGGGGTCGACTGCTGCTATCAGAGAGCCAAACAGCAGGCAGTGAAGCAGCGACACGTCCCCCAGAGAAGAGGGGCAGAGCAGGCACACTCCGTACAGAGAAAGGCCGATGCCCAGGACGTTCCACAGGGTGCCCAACACTGCATACCTGCACCAGAGAGAAGGATACTGTATAGTCACAAGTCTATTTCAACACACACTTGATGTTGGTAAAATTTTCAAGCCGATTAAGTAGTTTTGACTCACCAAATTATTACATTGTATTATAATCATTTGGGAGCCCTCAAGGATCTGTTTTTGGCCTTCTACCTACCTTACCATACCATACCTACATTACCGTACCATACCTTTTCAGAACTATCTAGCATCTGAGCCTATACCAAAACGTTGGATATTTTGGTTGTTTGTCATGTCTTTTTAATGTCTATGAATCAAATGTGTTGGAAATAAAGCTCGGAAATGATAATAGTGTTGAAGTGTTTCTATTAACGCGCAGACATTATTTGCGCAGATAACAATGTAGGATTCAGGTTATAAACGTCTGATCGGTGGAATCAGAGTCCCTGTGCTAAAGGTATCTTCAGCAATAGGAACAAAGATAAACACTGATTCACTCAAGCTGCGGCCGTGATGAATCCTGCATGCGCAAGAGTTTTAAGTGCTTAAAAAACACATCTAGTGGTCAGAGGGAATTAAATAGAACTGAGCCTGTCCTTGGTTAATCTGTCATGTTTTCGGATGCCATTTATCTGTATCTGTAGTCTGTTCAGAATTCACTGGGAGTGGGTTTGTTTCAGACTTACTGTGGCTCCAATCTCCTTGGATGTTCTGACCTCATCCTGGATGTGGACTCTGGCTCAACAGACTAACTCCATTTGCAAATGGATGTGCTTCAGTCTTGGATCTACCACCTGCGTGTCCGTGGACGTACTGAAGATCTCTCCTTCACTGAGGTCTTCTGCATGGTTTCTCTTTTTGCCCTTGCATGTTTTAAAGTCATTGTTTATTTAACGGTTTTGATTGTCTTACAGTATAATTTCCTATCTGTAAATCGTCAAAGAAAATGGTTGATCTATTTCCCCACACAAAACAGTCAATTTAAATCCATGTTATTTCGAATTTCATTTCCAGACCTCTATGACCTAAGTGTGTAAACTGTGTGTACAGGCTTGGTCTAAATAGTTTTTTTTACCAATGACACAAAACAAAGTATGAAAACAGACCAGAGGATGGTACCCAGGTTTTCAAAGAAGAGTCTGCCCGGCAGAAAGTACCCCGCGTCCAGCACGATGGGGGGCAGCAGGAACAGGAAGAAGGCATCTGCGCTCAAAGTGGGCGGAGCTGAATGACGGACACCATAGATGACTCCGCCCACTAGCAACCCCACCATGATCAGGAGGCAGCTCTCAGGGACCACAGCTGGGACCCGACCCGACCAATGGAAACCTGAGTGAGAACAAACACTGTATCAAACTTCCCAGAGGTAATTTAATTGAAGCCTGCTTTTTTTCTGGTATGAACATATTTGAGTAGATTGTTGCAGTGTGCTGTTGATCAATACAATTTTAGAATTTCATACACCAACATACCACAAATTTGAATGAAACCAACTGCAGGGCACCTGGAAACCAACCATTTATTGTCTTTTTGCCTCCCTCTTAGGGCTCAAGCGTATTGAGATATACTAAACAAAATCCATCAAACTCTGTTTAATACTTGGTTAAATTGTTTCCATTCCAAATCACAGCAGTATGGAAGACATAGACATTACCAGGTGCTGAGTTTCATCCCAGGAGATGCTCGGTCAGGCCTTTGTTTTGCAGGGTTGTTCAGTTCATACATTTACATGCTGAATTCTACTTCTACAACAAGTTAAATTCTGCTCAATCAGATTCAGATTATGAGATTGACTTCTGACTTGTGCAATTGAATAACAGGTGATGATGAACAACGTGAATAAGTAGACTTCACCTTTTAAACTTGTGCAGTATGCAAATACATTCAATCCATTAAGCTAATATTCGATTTTACAAATACCACCCATCACATAATGGTAATTCCTGTTTGACTCAAGGTAATACAACTTAAATCAAACAGCAGACTGTGGCATTGACAGTACCTGCTTGTCTATGCTTGTACCAACTTGCTGAACAATACTTAGGTGCCACAGAATGTAGACTGTCGAGGGAAAATTGTTGTTGTGTTCTTGGGAACCACACCCAAATGATCTCAGATGGAAGTAGTCAGTGATTGCTGGTGGTTGGTGCGTCTTGTTTCCGGGTGTACTGTATATAATCCTGGGCTCTTTCTTCTATTTGGGGTAATGACACTGATATAATACGTTGTACTCACCCAGTTTGGCCAGTGACGCAAGCATAATCCACAGCACAATCTCAAATGGTGCCTGCACATGGTGGAAGTCCACACTGAACATCCCCAGAGCCAGCGGGACATCCACAAACGGGACGCCCTCATTGCTGCTGTTGTGTCCCGGAGGAGAGTGCACGATCTGGGGCTCAGAGAGGTCAACGGGAGGGGTCAGGCCGGAGCAGCCCACAAGCAAACAGGTAAAAAACAGTGAAAAGACCATTCTGACCTGCAGCCATAACTGGACAGGGAGCAGAGGGACACGGGTGGTGGAGATAAAGGCAGAGCAGAGAACACAAAACACACTAATGTGCACTGGAATCCCTGAGCAAGCACTGGTGTGGCCACTACCACCTCTGACCCTCACACGGGATCATATACTGTACACACACCCGCACACACGCACACACACACACACACAAACACACACACACACATTGGCGAGACACGGTGGAGGAATGGCAAGCGCTAAACATGTAGACAAAAAACAATAATGAAAGTAAAACCGTCCTTCCTATACATGGCCATTACAAAATTCAAAAACGGGAAATATGAACATTAACAACGAGAATTTAATATCATTACATAAACAACATAAGTCCACCAATGCCAGAACATATACTGTGGCTTGCTAAAGTGCCAAAACGACTTGAACATTTGTCATACTTTGTCCGATCCAAAAAAAATGATTTTTATGTTGGATATTTTGGGAGACCACAAAAAAGAAATGGTTCAATTACACAAACTGTTACAAATCACATTTTTTGGTTTTGTGGGCTCAGCCAATTGATCCTGCTTTGTGGAGTTTGCAACTGACCACACCCCTTGTTTGGTTAGAGAGGTGAACGTTTGCAGTGGTGCCATATTCGTTTTATTTTTGAATAATGGGTTGAATAATGCTCTGTAAAATGTTCAAATTTTGGGTAATCGGTGTAAAACTTAACTCTACTTTAAATTAATCTCAGACTTCTCTGGGCGGTTTCTTGGACTTCATGATGTTGTTTGGCGAATACAATCTAAAAAAAAAACCTCGCAGAACAGAGCTGTACTTACACTAGGAGTGGGAGTACACAAAGACACACATAATAATAATAATAATAATAATAATGCATCAGTTTTATACAGCGCTTTTTTGGACACTCAAAGACGCTTCACATGTCTTTATTCTTTCACTTCATACACGGTGGTGATAAACTACTACTGTAGCCACAGCTGCCCTGGGGCACACTGACAGAAGCGAGGCAACCAGTCTGTGCCATCGGCCCCTCCGACCACCAGCAACCATTCACACACACCAGACTCATTCTAGGCAATGGGGGTGAAGTGTCTTGCCTAAGGACACACAGAAGTCTGGCACTTTACAGCCGCAGCCGCCCCACTGTGGCTGGTGTTCCCAGAGGTTAAGTGTCTTGCCAAGGACACAACGACAGCAGACAGTGGGAGTCGATGGTGAAGGTCGGGCTCGAACCCACGACCCTCTGGCTCAAAGGCCAATGGCCTCTTTTTTAACTGTTATGTGATAATTCAGCAGAGACAATATAATAGAAATGCTGTATGGATACTTGTTCTGTACGAATACTTTTCTGATGCAACATACAGTCAATACATGCATTAGGCAGGGAAATGTTTATATTAGACAGGACAAGAAAAGACTAGACAAAAAAAGAAATACAGATGATACAGATATTCAAAAGTGCAGACAAGACAGGGCAAAACATACATCCAAAATGTCTATGTGTGTGAGTTTGGTGTAGTTTGGATGTCCTAAAGAGAGACAGAGAAATCAATTTGATTATAAATAAGAAAGTAAAGACAACAGAGAAAGTTTTTAATTAAAAAAATCTAAATCATGTATCATTTGTTTTCACAAATGCATGTTACGTTGTTATGATCTTTCCTCAAAACTTATAAACATATCACAAACACAATATCCTCCTGTTATGTTTCTGGTCGTATTCGGTTTTCTCGGAACCCATTGTTTAATTATATGAAATGTTTAATTATCATTAATGAAGCATGCAGTTTTGGTAAACATTATACATTATATTTAAAGGGATTTTTATACATGACGAGATTTAGCTGCAATTACTCTTTACAACAGCAGATGGCGGTTGTGAGCTTAACTTTATCATCACCAAGCTTCGAAGTAATAATAATTTTTAAAAAATGCATCCATATTCAAAAGATCAGTCAATGTAATGTCATTCCTGTTCAGAGATGCGCAGGACTGGGGAACTGAAGACGGAGGAACATGTATCTGTGTTACTTGTGTGTAAATAACTAATTGTTTGATCACTGGATGTTGACACCTCCTCCACACTGTCTTCAAGACCCTGGCTGTTCGGCTGCGGAGGAGGGACGAGACCATGCAAAAGGCTATTTCCAAAATTCGAATGACATCTTGCTAAGTTTTCTGTCAGATGCTGCAGGTAGACTTCCTCCAGCTTCTTCTCCAATATCCCATTGAGTACTGAGTTAGTCCTGAGCTCTGGGACGTCCAGGCTTATATTCACGCTGCTCCCCATCGCCAAATACCCCTGCTCAGGATCGGAGTTGGGAGGGACTGACTGAACCGGGACAGTGATGGGGGGAGATATGAGAGGAAGAGGGCTGTTGGAGTGGGCTGCTGGTATCGGTCCTGAATCGGCCACTTGGAGGTCAGGATAGTGCACCAAAAGACTGCAGTCGACCAGAAGAGGGTCCGGGCTGAGGTTCATGGGACGTCCCGGGATGAGCAGACCCGAGGGGGATTGGTTGGGGACAGGGGCCACTCTTTGAAGACCTGAAACATCAGTCATACATTGTTTAAAGGCCATCATACTTGACAGCATTAATCTAGACACATAGTGATTTTGCATCATTAATTGTATGTATTTATTTATTCATATGTATGTTTTGGTGCAATAATGTATGTTTTGGTCAAATTGAATGTATTTTTCCCTGCAATTGAGTTTTGACTGAGGCAAATTTCCTATCATACACCCACAGAATATGAAATCTATCCCTCCATGCATCACCACAAACCCAACTCCATCCTCTTAGGTGAATAAGTAAATATAAATACTAGAATTACAATTATATTTTTTACTTGTGCATAATTATATCCTGCACAGACTATATTTTTAACCTTGAACCTGTTTTCACACGTCTATCTTGAGTGATTCTATCTGCCAAATGTGACATGTGCATTTTTCCAGTGTGAGATCAATAATGTCTATTTTATATTGTCTAGTGAACGTTGATGTCATTCCATTACTTAAAGGTGCTTTTAATGCAACTTTTTATGTGTAAAAAGTTGACCTTGTTGTGGCCCCGCAGCTGTAAGTGTGAGCAGCATGTTTCCTTTTGACCAGGTTTGTGTCTACAGTTCTCCAGGATCAATTGTATTTATGGTTTTCTGGTGCAGGGTCCAACAGCAGAAGAAACTTTCCAAACAATTGATCCTAAAACATCTCTGTGGTGGAAAGTAAAGACACCACGCTGACCACTTATAAAACTGCTGAGTCACTACAAGGTGAAATGTTTGCATAATGCACATTTAAGTAAATGTGTAAGCGATCCAGCTTTTGCATGTACTTAAAAAAAATGTCTTTGATTGACGGACAATCAACATGAGACATTTCAAGCAGTGCCTTTGAAACACAGACAGAACATGTAGAACTTAAGCTCAATGGTGGTAAGAACTTAGAAGCATGGCTGACCACAATGAATGCCCTTTCATGATGTATGCAAAGTATTCATTCTAAAATGTGAGGAGCATTTGGGTTTAAAAGTAAGGACCAAAATTAAAGTAAAGATACCAGAGAAACAAATCGTTATCATGAGTAAAAAAGGTTAATTAAGTAATAATATTATGTTCTGGATTTAGGAGGATCTCCCGCTCATTTTCTTTTCTTCATAGTTTTGTCACACAAAGTTACATATTCCCTTGGTGTGGATATAAAATAGATCAAACTTGTTTTTGCTGAAACTACAAGACTTCTGGAAAGGATTTGTAACGTTGCACTGCTAAAAACATCCTCCAGACAACTCTATTCATCAATCATCAGCAGCTAAATCAAAACAGACAAACAAATATGGTTCACTCCTGGATGAAAGCAGCCTTCTAGGTCTACATGTTCTCTGAAATAAAGAAACATGATCAGTCTATTGGCCTTTGAGCCCGAAGGTCGTGGGTTCGAGTCCACCATGAGACCTTCTCCACCAATTCCCATTGACGTCTGCTGTTGTTGTCCTTGGGCAAGACACTTAACCCACTTTGCCTTTAAGGAGCGCGGAAGTGATGTTTGCTGCTTGCTTTGATATGTATGTGTATGTGTATGTGTATGTGTATGTATATGTATATGTATATGTATATGTATATGTATATGTATATGTATATATGTGTATGTGTATGTGTATGTGTATGTGTATGTGTATGTGTGTGTGTATGTGTATGTGTATGTATATGTATATGTATATGTATATGTATAATGTGTATATGTGTATGTGTACAGTATGCATCAAACTGAAATTTCCCCATTGTGGGACGAAGAAAGGACCTTCTTATCTTTCAGTCAGTGTTTTATTTTTAAGATGTCACATGCACATGAGCAGTTACAGAAAGAGGAACCCGGAGGCTCTGTAGGTTCATTTAAGACAAAGTTTGTGCAACGTTTGAGTCGTCACACCAAAGCAATTTTCCGATCATTTCCTTCCAAGTCACTTATAATCAAAACTGATGCATTAATCTTCTGCAATATCAAGCTGTTGATGTTCACACTTTTTATTACCGACTTTTGACGATTGTGGCTGAAACTGATGTCATGCCAAAAGAGTAGTTTTAGGCCTAATTCCCACATTTTCACAGTCAAAATCCAATCTGGGTTTTGTCCAAATCATTAATGCTGACAAAAGAAGTCTACTACCTCTGCTTTTTGTAACATGCCTTCAATAACCCAATAACAAAAACTAAACCTGCAATTGATCTATAGTTTTGAAATACTATATTGAACTCATTGGTGGAAGAAGAACTTACCGGTTGATGACTGATCATTGAGTTGTGTTGTAATGTTCCGTCCGCTGCGGCTCTTGTCCAAACCAACTTCTTCTGTCCGGTTCGATTTGGACTTTTTGTCAACAGTTGTATCGTCGTCTCTGTAGTTCAGGACTCTCAGAAAGCCTTCACCCAACATAGCGGCTGCAGACCTTTCCTTTTCTCCTTCGTGAAGTCAGTGAGACAATTTTAATTATAAATGTTGGCTGGTTTCACTTCTCTAACTCATCTCTCCACCCTCTCCATTCACTTCCTTTAAATACATTCAAACAATACGAAGTCTCCGGCCTCTTTACTGTAATGCACTGTTTGTGGTAAATTTGAGGTTTCAATACGGCCACACACTTTTCTTAACTTACGACAATTTATTCCACATAAAACAGTTCAGTTACAAATACAGTTTTTACAAGTAGATTCAAATAACAATTGTATTTAAGGACCTAGTGATTGTGTAAAACTGGAATTGCCACTTTTTAAGACATAGAAAGACAAGACACCATAAGATCAAAGTGAAAAAGTCCGTTCACATCCCTTTGTGGATTCTGCAGCAAGATTATGGCCATGCACAAAAATTAACAACAAAAGTAAACATTAAACATGATCGGGTAACTCAAAAAGAAAACTTGAAGCCCAAGTTTTCCGAGCAATTCAAACTTAATTCTTACTATGTATAAAGAACTTCAAATTTTGATTTCTAGTGATAAAAAATATATTGGCAAAATCTTCCATTTGAATGATCAACAATGCATGGGTGATTTTTTTTCACTTGCCCAGGCATTGAAAACAATAGTTGGGGATTAATATGTGGTATGTAAACCAAAAATGCAAAAAAATACATTATGAAAAAAGCATGAAAGTGCTGTTTTGGCAAATAAACGATAAACGTGTGTAAAAACAACAAATGTGTTTTGGACCTTTATCCAGGATTTCTTCATATCGGTGTCTGTAGCAGGACGAGGGGGAATGCAGTCCATACACAGTGTTGGGGAGAACATTTGTATGTGTTTTATTACAGAATACCTGCTTTAAAATGTATTTTGTGACACTAAGTTGCATGGTCCAATCAGAGGACTGTATTCTGAATACTTTTGCACAATATTTTAAATGCTTTGGTAACTAGAAAACGATTGATAATGTGTGTCTTTGTTTGATGTAATAGCCTATCAATTGTGCAAAATCAAATACCAATATATATTCTTTATCCGTTTTAAAGTAACTGTATTCTGAATAGCAACACAATAAATGTAATGTTATGGATGGTTACTCCAAAAAAGTCATCGGAATATATACTCAGTTACTCCCAAACACTGTATGTGGTTGGCTCATGCATCTGCAAATGAAAGATCCACTTTGCCCATTTGACTACATTTTTTGCTGAGTTTCCTGCAAACGGCTCCATGAGGAAGAAGAATATAATTGTGCAGTGCAATGCAAATGGACAGGTGTAGGGCTGAAGGAGGACAATGTTATGTACCAGTAATGCTCAACGACTGTACAAACCTTATCACATAACGAAGGAAACATTTAAGCCACGGTCATAAAAATAGGCCCAACGACACCACGTGCTCAGTTGAAGTTCCTCTTCTGTTTCCCTGAAGTTGTACACCATTATTTTTAAATCATTTGAGAACAGGATCTAAATTTGGTTCCTTTTTCATGCATGATGATGTTAATCTGGGATATTCACACACAGGGACTCAGCCTTTACGTTTTCTTAGTTAGAAAACGTTGATCTATTGGGTTTTTTAGTTTAATAATTATTCTGAATACAGTGATGTTTGTGTTAATAGTTTGCCATTTACCAAAATACTGGCTGTACAAATTAGATCAGATTCAGATTCATTTATTTGCCATTTGCAGTAAAACCACATTGGAAAAACTGTGCAAGACTACCCCAGTGTGCACCAGAAGACGACACACACCAGAGCTCTTGCCACGGCGCCATCTTTACGGCGCCATTACAGCCAGTATTTGCATTTCTAATTTAACTAGAAAACTATATGGTGTCTGCTCTTAATGGGTATGCTTTACGTCAACTTTCTGTATGCCGTATCAGGTTTGACAAATATATTTTAGATCCACTTGAAAATGAAACGTAGATACCGCAGGTCAGCTCTAAGGAGATGCAACACCCTCGATTATGTTACATGATGTGCCATTTCAGTTTTTATTGGTGTGTAGTTGATCGGGACACACAGTGCATTAGCCAAACAGACTGTATATAGGTATGGACAATGCTAACAGGGTAGCTCTATAGGGAAGTGGTGACGGTGCGATGTCTATGGCGATAAACAGGGAATGGAATCTGGTGACACCTCACTTCTGGTGCTGTAAACATAAATTAGCTTGTCTATAGTTGCACGTATAACGCTAAATGTGAAAACATTTTTAAACATGATCGAAACTCAGTCGTTCACATTGGTGCTCGAGTAAATTGAATGAATATTACTATAGGCCTGTATTATTAGCCTGAGTGCTTGCAGGAGAGCGCACATAACCAGTGTCTGCAAGTTTGTAAAAAAGCTCTTTTCAGTTGAGCTGGCAAGGCACGGCTGAACTTACAAAAACACCACAACACATATGCACGGATTGAAACAGCGAAGGCCTTCTGCTTCTGTAGATTATAGGTCCAGATCTGGTCCAAGTCTCGGCCTCTGTAGACGTATAGACTTCGCAAAGCTACTATTGCTGCTGCATCTTCTTGGCAAGTGCCTCTGCTTCCTGCAAAGACATATGAGAGAGAGAAATTGAAATTATTAAAATGGTGCCGCTTATGTATGACATGCCATAGAAGGGGAGGAAAGCCCCTTTGTTTCTATAGTAACCGGCACACCTCCCGCAGTGCCGCGTGTGACAGAGAGGTGGCGGTTGTGAGCGGGTGTGAAGGCATGACTGCTGCTTTAGGGGGGGAATCAAAAGAAAGGGATAGTTTAGTTATGTAATAGAAAGCATGTGTGGCCAGGGTTGAACATCTTTGCAGGGATTGGAGGTGGGCGGACCGGACCGGTGGGCGGACCGGACCGGTGGGCGGACCGGATATAGGAGTGCTGCGTTTTAAATATGTAAGGTGATACCATGTTGCAGATGGGAGGGTAAGTCTAACCTTAGAGCCTGGGGGAGCTGTCAGACCCAGAAACGCATACACGGCGTTGTCCTCTCTGGCGTCAAAGAAGGCTTCATAGTTCTGTCAAAAAAATACAATAACAGAAAGATCAGTGATGCTGTATGGTGCATGGGAAAATCTTCAAAAGCCATTTCTGCTGTTTATTTTAGGACGGGAAATGGCCCTTTGCATTATTTAGTGGGTATGTCATTGGGTTGGCTGTGGCCTATATCCCTGTCCTTTTTTAGATCTGGCTGGATTCAGGGCAAAAGAATCTTCACAAAATCACTAAGAAATGAACTGTACTTGACTAGAAGGAATGATTAAAGCAACACTATAAATATAAAAAACAAAACACATCTGCATTTGTGATGAAAAGGCATGTATATTATATAACGGCAACCAAATCGATAAGAAAGAAAATATATCGACATTAGCTATAAAGCAGATTTCATGCCCATTCCAGATTTGTGTCCCTGCATTCTTCTTTCGTACGTTTACAGAGTGCTAGTATACTTTGGTCCATTTAAGGCATTTTGATGAATTGGAGTTGACATGTCCCCTTGTTTAAAATGGCCCCTGCGCTCCTGCTACAACCTGAGGAATGATAATGTGCTCCAGATTTTGAATTTGGGGGTCTCAGGGTCACATTCTATATACATTACACAACAATAGACTCTCCAGGGTTCTTTAATTGGGCAAAACTAGAATGCACAAAATCTATTGACAATACACAAAGTACAACATTTGAGTTGCTCTAAATCTGGTGGTAAGTCCTGGATCCGCATGTTTAGCTATAGTCTTGCCTAAATATTAGTCTATCTTAATTGTATAGGACTGCCTTGGGGTTTGAAAGTAATTGTTGTATGTCCTGCCACGCTTGTGTGAAAATCCATTGTCAAGCCAGTGTTATTTGTTGAGTTTTTCCTCGGAGATCCAGCCTTTGTGCCCGAGCAAACAAGGTTATGTGTTCACCTATTTACTGTGTATCTTTCTGCAGCCTCCCCTCCTCACTCCCACTCTCACATACCAGAACAGTCAAGACAAAGGAGCTCTATAGCTGATTGTTTCTTGGGACAAATGGGGCTTTCTATGTGATGATATAATGTATTCTGAAAAATTTTGATTTGCAAATTGTTTTCGAAACCTTTACCACCAAAATAATATTGCTTGTTTCCTAAACAAATTGTGAATTGACAATTGACTCCTCCTGCCACACCTTTGGAGAAACCTTACATGCAGCGGGCATCTCGGTATACTGTGGAGGAGTGGTCAGAGCCTATAGGAAGTGATTCTGGCATTGAAGGGACAAAAGAACATCGGAGGCACAACGGACATTGAAGTAAAAATTCTTTACTTTCACGGGAAACCAACGTGTTTTGACCCCTAAACCTTCATCACGGCAGACATTATTATGATTATGGCCATGATTCGGTTTCATCCGCTCAATACTTGTTTCATGAGTACTGTTGCGTCACTATTTCCTTTGGGGATAATGGGGAAATCAAAGAAACTCTGAAGTCCTGGAGTCAAACAGAACCTTTTGATCTGTCTGCTGCTCAGCCTCTGTGCATCTACTGTGTGCCTGTATCCAAAATGATTATCAAAACAATATTTTCCTATAGCTCCCACCTGTCCACAGAGCTTCTTCTGTGCTGCTGCAGCCTCCTGTTTGGAGCTCTGCAGTGGGTCTGGGTCTAACCAGGACCAGATGGGAACGGTTCACAGTGCTACAGAGTGGGCCATGGCTCAAAGGACTTAGATCCAGATTGTAACAAATAGTAGCATGTCTGTACAATGTCTCTTTTGTGCAGTAGTGGAAAGTTATACAAACACATGTGCGATCAAGTTAAAGTTTGATATACTAATGCAACCAATAATGTATCGTCATGGCAATAAGACACAAGTTGGGTTTCCTGGTCATACATTGGAAGCACTGCTGTTTTCGTTGGTTTGTAAATCATTTTCATGTGTGTAAATGAGAGCAGAAATATACAATCATGAATAGAGTAAAAGAGAACGCATCATCCTTGCACTTATGGATGAAAGCGTCCTTCATAAAGAGATGTTTGTGTTTGGGCATGGATAGAAAGAGGTGCCCAGAGCCCATCTCCTGATCTGGAAGTGTTAGTCATGGGACTTTACAGCCGCGATTAATCATGTCCACTGCTGGAAAGTGTAAACCAAATTGGATTAATATTTGGCAAAGTGGTTATCAATCTAACACATGTTTTAAGTAAGAACAAAACAGACTATTGGTTGCCTTGTTTATTGTTTATTGTTTTGATGACATTTATGAGATGCCTTTGTCTTTTTTCATTTAACTGCAAACAGATGTAGTTTTTCCCGAGTTCTATTTCATGATATGTCTTTTTTCCATGTGAAGAAAATGTTACTTCCAAAGTCGAATCTGCACAAAGAGAATGTGTTGCTTGTAAATCATTTGAACTCAAATTCATTATGCTTGTGTGTGTGTGTGTGTAGCAGTGGCGGCGGGTCCCGGCTCAAAAGTGGCCAAATTGATGTCCGCTGACATGCTGCAATACCACCCCGGGCCGATGGGGGTGGACCCAGAATAAGAATTAGCCAATGCTAATATATAGCATTAGGTGACCTCTCGAAAACGTCTTTACAGGATGGTCCAAAAGTTGGCTCTTGGCCCAAAGCTCCGTTCCACATGTGTGTCAATGCTGAGGGGGGTGAATTTTTTTGGACCAGTCTAGTTCACTCGCTGTGAATTTTTGAAGTCACATTTTTCAGCCCCCGCGGCCATTTTGAATCACTCCATGAAAGCCCAATTTTGGCCCATTGGTTAGAACGGCGGAGATAGGCGTGAGTACGTCTGTTAATATATGGTGTGTAGGTGTATGTGTGTGTGTTTGTGTGCGCGTATGTGGTGTGTCTACCATATTTGTACTCTGCAGATTCGCTTTGAATGTACTTTTATTTAGTTTTAGTGAGAATAATTGACAAAATCAACAGTAGAGATCAAAGTCTACAAAATGAACACCGCTGTATCCCACTCATTCATATAAACATTTTGACTTTCCCAAGAATCTTGTAAAAGTAAATTGTTGTGAACAAACTTTCTGTCTTCTCTTGCCCCTATTTGACACTTCAGGCTGAGATTTGTCCCCTCTCTTTCACTTCTCCGTCTGAAAAATTGAAACTATATTTTTGATAAAGTTAAGAAAATCTTGCATGTAAAAAACAGTGTTAGCACCAAACTGTTTTGAGAGTGAGGAATGAGTAACATTAGATCAATGTTGTGGTTTAAAAGTTAGGAACCCCCAGTTTTAAGCCAGATTGACAGAGTTTAAGTGCTGACTCTTACCCCGCAGTACGTGGCGTCGTTGAATATCTGTGGGGGCAGTGGGTTCCCTGTGGCCGGCCGTGAATCCTCCGGGACGTTCTCTCTCATCCACTTCCTGTTCTCCTCGTCGGCCGCAATGTCACACTCCTCGAAGTCGATCTTATTGGCCGCCAGGAAGCCCATTACATCCTGCTGCTGCTTTTTAATCTGCGGGAGCGGGGACAGCGGAGGAAGTCATCAGACACAAGAGCGATCAACAAACGCTCAGTGAAGAGGTCTGCGTCCGAAATCATATAAAAACATATTTCCTTTCCTATGTTTTCTCATGCTTCTGTCTCTTTGTCATTGAATGTGGTGGAAAAAGTGTGATTCTTGTTTGATTCTGAACTTGGACGCAGCCACAGTTTATTCAGTGGATCATGTGGATTGAAAAATATTGAGACACTATGCAGGCTTCCTATGTATATATACATTTTATTTGTTCTTAAAACTACACTATGAGCACTTTATGACTCTGACTCTGATCTTTTTCCTTTTAATTAATTATTTATCATTTATATCATAACAAAAAACACAGAAACACACACACACACACACAGAGGTCAGGGACAATAAATAACTCCAAACAAAATGACTGGCTCCTATCATAATGACTTGGCTCTATATCAACATAAAATAGGGCTATAGTCAAACTACAAAATCTTGTTCAACTGCAAAATATTTAGGCTATATCCACACGAAGACAAAACGCTTATAATTTCAGAAACTTTTTCTGTAAACACGGAGTTAGCTCAGTAAATGTGTGCGTCCATATGAATGTAGTCAATACGCCTGAAAACGCTGTGAAACTATGCCAGACCTGTTGGTGGCGCTGTGACGCAATGACGGGATCAAGCCCAAACTTCCGTGACGGGAACTGGGCATGCGCAGAATTTTGTAAACAGACAACATGGCGAGTGGGCGAGCTGGTACTACATTAGTATGGACGGACGATGAGGTTGAACTGTTGCTTCGGGTCGCACTGGATTACAAAACCAACAAGCTACATTGTTGTTGTCATTATTTTCTGAGTGCGGCGCATGCGTGCTTTAACAAGAGGCGGGGCGATGACGCAAGCGTCTCAGATACATTGCGGAGAGGCAGTAACCACGGAGCGGCATATACGGAGTTTTGAAATCTTTCCACTCTGGGACCTACTTTCAAAAATGTTCGTTTACACCCCCCCAAAACGCCGGCCTCGTATGGACGATACACTGGATTGATAAAGTAATTTTGCGTTTAGGCCTGAGCTTGACTTCGTGTGGACAGGGCCTAAATCTGCCTTAAATGCCAAAATAAAAACCTACATTTTCAGCTAACACCCATTCTCGTTACTGACTGTACAGTACAGTACAGACAGTACATATACTGGTCGACGAATACACAATTCCATACTTTTGTAATTATTGGCTAATCTCAATGTTGTTCCAATGTTGACATTTTCTCCAAATAAAAACAACAATAATGACATGTGAAACTGATGTTTCATGGTCAATAATTATTATGTTTACAGAAATAAAAGTATATTATTCTGTTTTGCTACTTTTAAATGAGCAACTTCAATAAGAGATTATAGATAGATATCAGTATCCCAGAGCCACTATTGTAACTCATGTTCTCTAACTTCATGTTTATATGTATTTGGGGTAGTTTTACTTTAGGTGATCAAAGGCGGAGGGAACTGTTTTTGGTTCAGAAATAATACATTTTGATGTTGCCAGAGAAATTATTGTGACTGAATTTTGTGAACAAATAATCCATCCTTCATACAGTCTTTGTCTAATAATATGCATAATTATGTAATATGCATACTTATGAGCCCTGTGAGTCGCTATTTGACACTTTAGTCTGTGAGCTGATTGGCTGAGGAACTTTTCTGTCTGGAGTTTATCTAAAGAAGACAAAAAAATACATGCATGTGAAAACTAGTGATGGAACCAAACTTTTAAAAGAGCTGTTTTTTTATTTGATAATAATAATAATAATACAAATATAATAAACAAAATAATAATACATCATACTTATATACCGCTTTTTTTGGACACTCCAAGATGCTTCAATTTATACTCAATTTTTCTGTGGTTTGAAAGTTAGGTACCCGTGCTTTAAATGGCATAAATCAGTGTATATAAATCTGTACATCCCACTTAGGAATGTGTTATGTGAATATGCAGCACAGTCACCGTCGCACACACATTTGTTTGTCATCTCCTTACTTCTGCTTGAGTCCGTTGAGACTATATGCAATCGTCCAATCAGATGTGAGCATGTGCCTGAGTAAGATCAGGATGTCTTAATAAGGTCGCACGGAAACGGGAGGATGTAAGTGGTCAAAACACAGGCCAAATAAGGGCAGCTTTACCAGGACGCAGGGCTACTACACCACACCACATCATTTAGGGCGGGGAGATCCAACCGTAACTTCTGAATAGTGTGATTGAAACTGTGACCATTCATACAAACAAAACAATTAATAATTCTAATACCACACTTACTAAATTGTGTTCTGTACTAATAACAGAGATTTCTTACTTTCTTACATACAAATAGTAAAAAAGCAGCCCATTCATTTTCTTGTTTAGTGGACAAAAAATGTAAGCTTTTCACAGTAAAACAGCAGTACCAGTCAGTGCCACCTGAAGAATAGATTTAATTCTTTAAATAGTTTGGGGCGTTGAACTGAGCAAGGTCAAACAGGCTGTTTTTAATCTTGGCGGAAGTTGTTTTCTTTGGTTACAGTCCAATCACAGAGACTTGAAACAGACATTGATGCTAGTGCTTCTCCATTTTACGTTTAGTAAAGGGAAAGGTTTTTACAGACTGTATTCAATCTGTGGCAATTTCAGTGACAAATATGAGCACACCCCATCTGCAAATATGCTGCAGAGAAAATTGTGTAATGTTTGAATTGTGAAAATACATGGTACTTTTATAGCACTTTTTGGACACTCAAATGTGCTTTACAGAAGGACAGGTTAATAAGACACAAAAATATGTAAAAAAATATATATATATATTTAAAGGAGCATTATGTAAAAAAATCTGGCCAAAAGTGGTACTGCACTCTCCCTGACTCAGGTTGCCAGATATGCAGATTAATCCAGCTGGGAACATAATATCTGAATAAAGAGTTTTGTCAACAACAAATCTACAACCAACACCTTTTTCTCAACGATATAAATCCTAATTTTGTCCCTAACCCTGCGGCCACATGTTACTTTACCAGTGAGATTTCTCACTGGATCACAGACTATCTGATTGGTGAAACGGAGAAGGGCGGGACATCGAAATGAAAACTATTTCTATTCTATTTCTCTAAAACTATAAACAAGATTTAGGGGCAGTAAAACTAATTTTGAAATTAAAAGATCGCTGAACTACTGTTATCAGTTAAAGAAGGATTTGAAAAGAGCGTGGTTTATTAATTCCTTTTAACAGATTAGGGCCATTTGATGATGACTTGACATGAAATTCTTACGTATTGCTACTTTAAGTGTATGTGTCAGGTTTTCGAGCAGTGATTTGAAGTGACTTTTTTGCAATTTAAGATTCAATTGAAGCCTGGGGAACTTTACATTTTGGAATTTACAAACAAGATTCATCTTTATGGTGAGCTGTGTTTTACATCATGTCAGAACTGTTTTAGTTTAGTCTAAACTTACCTCTAAACCTGGTGGTAACTACAGCTGCTTTTACCATCCATTATAGTTCAATCCAATCCAATGTTGTAATAACTTGTGTCCGCAGCCCTTCGTCCCTGTGGTATACAGTACTTGCATGTTGCTCTCTTAACAAGCCTGCATTGTACAGTTGCCAAGCTAAATTAATTTGCAGAGAAATTGTCCACGGCTCATCTGGCCTTGGGTCTAATTGCACTAAGAGCTTTCCTCTCTTGCCTCTCGTCTCACCTCACTGGTCTCCGGAGCCATGTGCTTTCAGACTGTACATCTCTACATCATGGGCCGCGCCCATGGTTCCCCCCAAAAAACTTGTCTATTGCACTCAACATCAAGCTGATCACACTGATCAGGTCAGTAAACAGAGGATTTGTTTGTCTCGTAAAAACAGGATTTTGTTTAACTCATAAAAACAGGATTTGTGGGGGCGACAGTAGCTCAGTTGGTAGAGCATTAGCCTTAAGGCCAGAAGGTCGTGGGTTCAATTCCCACCTCTGCACCTTCTCCACCGACTCCCACTGATGACTGCTGTCGTTGTGTCCTTGGGCAAGACACTTAACCCAACTTTGCCCAAAGCCCCCACTGAAAGATCAAGGCTATGCTCACACTCAGAGAGCAGCCGTCCTCCTGTGGACTCACCACCTGCAGAGGGTCAGTGAGGGGCTGGTGCTATGAGACTTGGGTGGCATCTCTGACTGCCACCCCCCTGACCCAGAAATGGATTAAAGGGTAGAAAATGGATGGATGGAACAGGATTTGTCTCAGAAACAGAAACTTTTCTCATAAAAACAGAAACTTTTTTAATTCAAGTGAATGCAATAAGCTTCCGTAACAAATCACTTACTTGTATTTCTTTATGTTCATGTAGATTTTAAAGTGATAGTCTGTAACTCTAAATATTTAGAGTTACAGACTCTAAATAGAGTCTGTAATTCTTAAAATGTGAATTACACATTTTAAGAATTGTATTAAATTGACCTCCTGGCCTTAAATGTTAGTCCGGCCTTCCCTTCTCTTAGCTATATCTCAGAATCCACGATGCCGTCTACGTTAACCAATCGAGTCATGCCAAGGGCTGTCAATCATCAGCGCTGATACTCGTAGCTGCTCATGCTCAGTTGTTTGTTTTCGCGGAACCTCCGAATCAAGCCTCCATTAGGCTCTGAAGCTACATGAAAACTGAACAAAGAATTCTGAACATCCGCGCTGAGTTACCCATTTATACTGAACCTATATCCATAATCATTTATATACTGAACCTATATCCATAATCATTTATATACTGAACCTATATCCATAATCATTTATATACTGAACCTATATCCATAATCATTTATATACTGAACCTCTATCCATAATCATTTATATACTGAACCTATATCCATAATCATTTATATACTGAACCTATATCCATAATCATTTATATACTGAACCTATATCCATAATCATTTATATACTGAACCTCTATCCATAATCATTTATATACTGAAC